TCATTCACACCCCTACTATGAGCATAACTTCTGCGCAGCGAGCAGAAAGCAGTCAGGCCTGGGCCTCCATGAAGCCAAATAATATTTAGTCCAATGCTATGGTTACATGACTGCCTGAGTTAATGAATAATATGGCAAGTATTTGCCTAGCAGTGGAAATGAGTGACAGTGACTATTCAGCACAGAGACCACGATGGAGAACTATGTACCTAACCAGTACAAAGATGAACAATAGAGCAATCCCTTTCTTTAAGTGCCCCGAGGTTCAAGAGGCAGGAGGTGTTAGGAAAGGGTCTGGATCCATCCTCTCCACATCAGCTCAAGGAGCAGGGAGGGGAGAGCACACATCAGCAGTGAGCACCTCAGTCCTGGAAGGATGTCGGCAAACTGGGAGCAGGCTCAGAGAAAACCAGCAGAGCTGCTGGGGTGGGGGGCTGAGGGCAGGCCTATGCAAGCAGGTTACATCACTGGGCCAAGTGAAGGCTGAAGTGGGACATGCCAATGGCCTGCAGATGGTAAATGCCACGCAGAGAGAACTGATTCAGGCAGAGCAAGGGGTGTACTGCGCAGAGGGATGGAATTGAGCAAAGGGAAATGTAGGCTGAATCCTGAGAGATCTTCTCTGCTAGTACGATCGTCCAGCCCAGGGAACAGTGTCCCAAGGGACAGGCGGGCTGGGAACTCCATTGCTTGAGTCATTGAAAACTAGGCCCTGGAGAATACAGCATAGAATAGATAACTACCCTGCATCAGCCCCCAGGGAAGGACTATGAGCTAATGCAGCCGGTCTCTCCAGTTCCCACCCCTGCTTTCTATTAAGCCTACAATGCGAAGGCAAAACACCAGCTCTCATCACTCCCAGGTTCCCTTAACCGTGCTGCAGCAGGGGACCATGTCTGCTTCCCCTGCGTTTGTAACAGCTGATTCACTCCAACTCCAGGATGAGCACAGTCAGCAAACAATACGCCTCCATGCCCGGCTCAGGGCTGCACTACTCAGAGGGGACAGATAGCCTGCAGGGGCCAAGACAGCTGCCTGAACTCATCTCCCCTGGCTTCTCTAGGATAGTAGAAGGTGCCCTCTGTGGCTGCCATTAGGATCAGAGTTCGCCTCCCCACTTTGTCTCCTTCACTTTTTTGACCTGAGCTTGGCCTCACGCTCCAGGCACTGGGAATCTCCGCTTTGAAACAAGCACTACTGAATGGGCAGCCCCCCAAGGGGGCTCCCGGGTCCCACCTGCTCATTCCTTGCAGTCCCAAAGCCATGTTCTGAGGACCCACAGCACACGCTGGTGGGCTGAACCCAGGAGCTGATACCAGACGCATCCCAAACCTTGCAAATGCAGAAGTCTGATCTGCTGCCCGAGCCTTGTGAGTCCGTGGCCCAGCCCAGCCTGAGGCACCCCTGCTGCAGGGTCCCTGGCTGTTTGGTGCCTGCTATCCTAGCCATGGACCAATAGCTCTGCTTGTGCCCCTCAATCCCAACCTGCAGCCCCCTGCTATCCCAGAGCTGGGCCCCTCCTAAGCCAACCCTGCCATTCCCTCTGGATGCTGGCATGTGACTCCATTGGGGAGTCACACCTAGCACAGACAAAGAGCCTAAGTCATTTGCAACTGTGCTCAAAATGTGGAGGCCGAGCCAGCTCCCCAGTGGGAGCAACTCCCTGGGGTGCCTGGTTCTGCTGCCATCGAATCCTGCCCCCAGCCACCCTGACTTTGGGGTGGTCACAGGCACCCCAGGCTGCTCCCCACGCTGCCCCCCGGGACACTGTATTTGTTCAGCCATCTTCTCCAGCTCTCCATTGTGGCGGCAGCCAGGCTCTTTAGCTGTTACTAAATTTAGGTCACCCCCCTCCCCCCGGCCCTGTTATTGATTCCCATCATCGGTCTCTCACTCCCACCCCCTCGTTTCTCTCCCTTCCTGCCACCCCCTGCCTGCGGGCCAGGAAGTTCCCAGAGTGTCTCCCTTTGCTCAGTCCGGCTGGGAGTGAACGATTTCACACGTGACGTCAGGACGGCCAGAGCCCCTTGAGGAGCCTGTGGGGCTAGAGCCAAAATCCCAGCATGCCCTAGGCCTTCCTCGAAACTGGAGCCTTATCCCTCCCCGTCCAGCCGTCCCTCCTGATCCCATGCAGTTTGAAATCCAGCTGTGTGTGTGTGCGTGTGTGTGTAGGCATGTGGGCACGCGATGACACCCCCATTATCCCAGGTGCACTGGGTTCCTGCCTGGCATACCTCCCAACAGACCCTCACACCCTGCCACATTTTCCTCCACAGCATCTCCCAAACCAGCATCTCCTCTGCCACCACCTCAGGCAGGTGCTGCTTGGCCTGGCTTTAAGGGCCCTCACAAATTCACCCTGCCCACCTTGCTGACCTTTACCCCCCACCCCACCTGGGTGGTGCCAGCCTTTGCCACCTGCCAGGCTTCTTCCGCCACAGGCCTCTCCACTGCTTCCAAACACCCCTGCACAAGCATTCCTGATGTGCTCCCGCTGGCTGCAGCACCAGCCTGTGTGTGTGGGAGCTGCTCCGTGGCCACATTCCGCCCCCCCACACACTCCCTGCAGCTATCGCATCCACTCCCTGGCTTCGGAGCAGGGGCTGTCTCCGTGCGACCAGCTTGCACAGTGCACCACGAGCCAGGAGGAGCAGAGCCGGAGCCTGTGATGGGGCGCACCAGGCCCTTTGATGCCCCCCACTGGAGGCCTTGCAGTCCTACTGCTCCCTGCCCTCAGGAAGGTGCAGGTGGGTCCTCCGGGCCTGCCTAGAGAGGCTGCATGGAAGCAGCCAGTCAGAGCTCAGCAGGCTCAGTTAAAAGGGGCTGCACGGACACAGTGGGTCAGTGGCTGGCTGAGAGCAGAAGGGCGAGGGAGGGAGGGAAGATTGTGAGGCTCCCCTGGCAGAGAGGCTGGGGCGAGACCCTGTGCAAAGAGGGAACAGACAGAGAAACAAGAGGGTGATGGGGCCAGTGGGATGCAGACCAGGGAATGCAGCAGTGACTATTAAAGGGAAGCAGCATGTGGCTGCTATTTATAGGGTCCCTGGGTGGGGACCAGAGTAGTGGGTGGGTCTGGGTCCCCCCAACAGCTGCTGGGGAAGTGTCCTAAGTCCCAAGAAGGGGATAAGACTCAGCACTAAAAGCCCAAGAGAGGGGCTAGAATGTAAACAGGCCCAGAGATGGGGCTGAAGACGCCGGAGAAGACCAACCATGTGTTGGACTGTGTTATCCCAGAAGGGTTCCTTCATGTGTGTGAGTTGGCCAGAGACCCGCCTGACTGGCAAAAGCCAACAGGGTGCTTGGAGCGGAGAAAGGACAGAGTGCAAGATCGCCCCCAGCCAAGAGAAGCGAGTGCCCACCATCACAGAGCCCCACAATATGTCCCATGGCCTACTCACATCTGCCACATGCACCCTACCCCAGGCCATGTCTACACAGCCCCACACATGGTGCCCTGCCCTCGCCCCAGCCCTGTGCACCCACCCCCTAACATGCCACAAATGGCACACACGCTCCACTCTGTCCCCCCACTCCTCTGAACAACCGCCTCTGATTACGAGAGGTTAGAGGGCCCCACACACACACTCCTGGGGGCACAGGAGCTGGGAGCACGGGGCTCTTAGCTGGGAGGTTAGTGCAGGAGCCAGGGCAGAGGCTGCTGGCCCAGAAGCTTTCCCAGGCCATTTAAGGCAGATGCAACAGGCCGCTGTCTCCTTGGAAACTCAGCTCCCCAGGGGCCTCTAGCAGCATCCTTACAGCAGGGAGGCTGCGGGCCGGACCCCAGCTAGCTCTGGGTAGTGTGGGGATGGACAGTGAGGGGCACTGAGGAGGAAGCAGGGAAGCTGGTGGGGGGCAGGAGTGTGGGATCACACCCTGGCCCAACTGCTCAGTGGCCTGGGTCAGAGGAAGCCTCCCCCAGTGCCCCTAGCCCAGGGCCACTGTGACTAGGTGGCATGCCCATGAGGGCTGGTGGGCCCTCGTGGCCGTGAGGGATGCCCCAAGAGAGCCAAGCTGATGGCCCCAAGTGGGATGGGCCCCAGCTCTCCTGCTGGGGCCCTCTCCAGGCCTCTGGCTTTGCCTCCACCCAGCCTGGGAGCCAGGCACTGACCGGGGAGGGGAGGGGGGTGTTGTCTGCTAGCTCAGCCTCACAGCAGCCTGTGCCATAGATTCAGACAGATCAGACCACCTAGGGGGATGTGTCCTGACCCTGCGTGGACAGATCATTTCAGTCATGACCCACAGCCCTGCTTCCCCAACTCGGGCTTCCCCCCTGGCTCTGCCGGGGCCCCTCAATCCTGACCCACAGCCCCTGCTACTCCCATCCTGGGCTCCCTCCCCCATAGATCTATCAATGCCCCTCAAACCGACCCACAATCCCCCATTATTCCACCCCTGGTCTCCCCAGTTCTGCCGATGCTCCTCAATCCCAATCTGCGGCCCCCCTGCTATCCCCACCCTGGGTTCCTCGGGACCACACAGCTCAGCCAATGCACCTCAACAGTAATTCACAGGCCACTGCTACCCCAGTCCTGTAACACACAGCAGCCTGGCTGCTTAGGGGCTGTCAGTCGCACACTCTCTGTCTCACACCCACACTTCTGCCAGTCACAGCACACCCCTCTTGCAATCCGGGATCCCCTGGCTGTGCTGTGCCCCTAGGGACATGCTGACAGACCCACCCAGCCTACTTGTGCTTGTGATTTAAAGCCCAGGTCTCCGCAGGTGAAAGGCGGGTACATTAACCCCTTGTGTGGCCTGCCCAGCAGAGGGGCCTGCAGTGTGCCTGATGCAGCTTGTGGGAGGCCGGGGTTCAGTTTCTCTAGCATCAGCACTTGGTTAAAGGGTCCCAAGGTCTGTGCTCGCCTCAGTGCCCCAGCATCACACGCCCACTCTGCACCCAATGCTTCCCAGCCCTGCTGAGCACTGACTGTCGCATGTCCTGCCAGGGACTCGGCCCAGAGGGCAGCAGCCCCCCAGGTTAGATAAACACCTCACTCCTGTTTATCCATCTGGTGGTTTTTAATGAAAGAACAACATGGGCGCTAGCACAGCCCCACCCACTGGCCCCAGCCGGCCGGGCTAGGGACAGGCCTGCGTGGCTGGACTGAACTCTCGGCCCTCCCTGGCCTGCCCAGTTACAGGAAGCTCCCAGGAGGATTCAGAGACAAGGAACAAGAATGATGGAGGCCAGGAAAACCTGCCTTCTGGTGGGAGAATGACAGCAGCCCAGCATATGTGGAGAAGTTTATCCCAGACAGGGGGCTTGGTCTGTATCTATGTGGGGACCTGAATCTTGCATGGTCCCTCCTGCTCTGGGATCAGGAGCTGAACTGGGGTTACTTTGCTCGCCATGTCCTGTTAAATGAACACCCAGCTCTGTGTGGCTGAGTGCGCTGCTCTGGCGCTCTCTGCTTCTCTCTCCTCCCCCATCTCTCAGCGCCTCAGCATTCCAGGCAGGGCACAGCCACGACCTTCGTCTCGCTGGTTTCTAATTGTATTTTCCACCAGTCCTTTAGGGGGAAGTTACGAGCCTGGAAATAAAACCTGTTGAGAACAAGAAGAGTTGGGTGCCAGGACTCACAGGCTCTGTGCTGTGTTGGCAGCCAGGCAAGCCACCTCCAGCACCCCCATCCCTCCCTATGGAATGTAGCAGCTCTGGAATGCCAGGGAAGGGGCAGTGGTGACCGTGCCAAGACCCCAGGCCATCACAGTGGGTGCAGATAGCACTCTCCCTTCCCCCCAGCTGATAACGGCCTGAAGTGGCCAGAAAATAAACCACAGCCAAGCTGTCATGAGCCCAAAGTGTTTGTCCCAGCCTGGACCCCCTGCCAGTCCCCAACTCACTTCCCCCTTCTCCCTCGGCAGATCCCCCCTGCAAACCATCCGGAGGAGGACATGGAGCAGGACAGACCAACACAGAACCTGTGGGGGCAGCCAGGCAACCTCAGGCGGAGGGGAACACCCACAGAGCCCATGTGGGGTTAGCAGCCCTGCAGCCTGCAAGCTTCTGCAAGGGGATCCATGTGCCCACCCAGCCTGCAAAGACTACAGGGACTACTGGCAATGTGCCATCATGGCATTCAGGTAAAGGAGGATGCAGCTTGGATCCAGACCCAGATGGAGCTTTGCAGGCTGGGACCTGTCCCCTGTGCAGACCACAGCTCTGTATTAGAGGTGATGAGCCCACACCCACTCACACAGTGCCAAGTGGGTGCCATGCTGTGCAGTCCAAATGGGAGCGTTCTACAGCCACTTTGTTCGGGAGCCAATGACCACAGCAGGCCATGGCAATGGTAAAGCAGCCCCCAAACCAGGGTGTCAGCACTCCACCAAGGGGGAGCGTATCTCAGGGCCTGGCAGGTTGGCATCCCCTGGGAAGAATCCATGATGTGGAGTCTGGGCATGTTCTCAGCCTGACTGGTTTATGTACACTAGCTACACCAGTTCTGGTAGAGAGGGGGTCACACGCAGGACAAGCGGCAGCTCCCTTGCCCAGGGCTCTCAGCCGAAACCGAAAGCCCAGTTCCCAGCTGATAAATCTGCCTCAAAAATTGACTCTAGTTAGAGAGCTCCAGACAGAGCGCAAACTCCCTGGCTGTTTGCAATAGCTCCTCCCAAAAGAAATTGCACCAGAAAACTAACATCCCAAGGCTGAGCAATGCCCATGTGATAAGAAAAAGACCTTGGAAACCTGCATGTAACTGTGCCTAGAGATCCTTTTTGGGGGGGTGCTCTGCCCTCTGCTATGTCTCACCTGAGAGTCCTGGAGCAGGAATAGGATTGGAAAGGCTGGGACCTGTTGTTGCAAGTGAACCCTTATGGGACAGGCCGTGCGCTCACACTGGTTACACCGAGTAAGGTGCTCTTGTGCCCTCTGCTGTTGTGTGCTGGCTGTGATGGTGCTGGGGTGTGACGTTGACAGGGTTTGGCCTGTAGCCACCAGCTTTACCCATTGGTGCTCATAAGCTAAAACAGGGCCAGGCCTGGCCAGTGCTGGGATAGAGCCCACTGACCCCCCAGAACTGATGCTGGGGAATCAGTAGGTTGTGCTCGCCTCCCTAGGTCAGTATTGAGCCCAGGCTGTAGGCTGGTGCCAGCAAGAGGGCTGTGCTGGGGAGCAGGTAACTTTGGGATCAAAGAGAGACCTGAACTATTTGTGGTCCTGGAAGATCCCCGTACACAGACTGCCAGGCTGGGAGCATTAGCCCCAGGGCCCAGCCAAATCTGGACTCATAGTTACACTCCACCCCCTAACATCCTCCCTAGATTGATCTGGACACAGGTGTGTTGCTAGCTGTGGTACATAGCTACCACCGGCCGCCACACAGAGAGCTGAACTGGACATAGGAGCAGGCTCTGACCTTTTAATCCTGGCTTGGCCACCTGTTCTTTGTGCTCTTGGGCAACCCACTCCACTTCTCTGCCTCAACTTCCCAGTCAATGACATGGGGATAATGACATGTACTTACCCTCCTCACAGGAGGATTGAGGGTTAATTCGCTAATCTAAGCACATGGCTTTGAGCTGCCATGTGTGCACATGTGTGTTTTCACTGCAGAATAAGCCCAGATTCTTCCCCAGGTGTTGCCCCAAGACCCACTCCTGTCCTCTCACCTGAGTTTTGTGGTGTTATCAACCTGGGCTAGCTGGGGGCGGGGCAGTTAGAGCATGGGTGCAGCAGCTTCAGTTGGGCTGGAACCACCCACTTTGTAGTGAGGCCATAGGTGAATCACCTAAGTGTTGACAGTCCTCCTCTGCCTTCCCACAATCCTCCCTTGTGCCCAGAAGGACAGACAAGTTTTCCCACTATTCACTGGGAAGGAATCATAGCACGACTCAGCTCCCTGCAGCACCAAGGACCATGGGATGTGCCCCCCAGATGTCCTAGCGACTCACATGGGAGAGCACAGCACCTGTGAGGAGGCAGTAACTGGGGTAGGACTCTGCAGTGCAACTGCTCGCGCCAGGTGATGAGACCCAGTGCTGACCACCAGGGCTAACTGCTGTGAAGACACAGTGAATGTGCACGTGTGTGTGAGTGAGAGAGAGAACACCAGGGTGGTTAACTGCTGTGAAGACGCTGTGTGTGTGTATGTTTGTGTGTGAGAGAGATCACCCAGATGAACAGCTGTGAAGACACCCATTGAGGTTATGGGGGGAGTCAGTCTGTCAGTCAGTGTATCTGGGCACCACTGCTTTCTGCGGTATGAAAGCAGAACTGCGCATACATATTACAATTCGGAGTCTCTGGTAGCACTGCATTGCAGGGTGTGCACGACGGTGAAGTTCCTCTGTGTGGCTCCCATACAAAGCATTATGGCAGGGCAGAACGCTATTGTCCTGAGGATGGGCACGGTGCTTGCCATTTGCAGAGAGGAGTTTGCAAGGGGCACTGTACAGCTCAATGGGGCAGCGATACTAAGGATAAGAGAAAATCATACAGCTGCATCTCCACACACCCCGCTGAGGGACTGTGTGCTAGGGAGTGGCCATTGGCCATCAGCGTTTGGCTGGCTGGCGTTCAGCAGAATGGGGGGAAGCGGGGGCGTGCGCAGGGTTGCTGGGTGCTCGGCTGAGAGGCAGCAGCGTAAGCCAGATAGCCGCAGGCCAGGCAGGAGCCGGGCCATAAAATATTGAGCAGGCTGAGAGGCCTCAGCACAAGCGAGGCTGATTGGATGTGACCGGCGACTGTAATGTGCCATGCCAGGGAAGGAGGGGGCACCTCACTGCGCTTTGCCCTCCTAGCTCTGCCTCTGCCTCCCCACTGGGCTCCTCATGGCACCCAGCCAAATGCCACGCCACGGGGTTGGCAAAGCCAGAGCCCTCCCATTGGCCTGGGGGGATTCTCAGCAGCACCCAGGCGGGAGCCAAATCCAGCTCTGAAACTGCCCTGCAGGATGGGGAACTCGCCACCAGAGGCTCAAAGAGCTCAGGAATGCCCCAGGCTGCACAGCGGTGCTGGGGGGGCCAGGGAGTGATCAGGAGGAGCAACCTTTGGCACAGAGCCCCCCTTTGTGCATCAGCCACGGGTCAGCCACAAGCAGCAGGGTCTGCTTGGTATGCTGAGCTCCAGTGGTAAGCAGACCCCAGCCCCCCCCCCCCCAGCTCAACTCCATATTGCCTATCATGCAGCTTGGGGGCTCTGGGTTCTCCTTAGCCCCACAGAGCTCTGGGGGAAGAACCCCAGCCTGGCTGTCAGGCCCCAGAGGGAACCAAACAGCTGGAGCCAAACAGCTTCTGCCGGGCATAAGAGAGTCCTCACACGACGCCAGCCGTATCCAGCCAGGAGGGTCCTGCTCCACCCCGGGCCCCTTTAACATGCAGGCCAGACACCCAGAAGATCTGGGTTCTGTTCCCACTTCTGCTGCTGCGGGACCTGGCCAGGGCTCCTCACCTCAGGGCATCTACATCGGCACTGGAGGTGCAACGTCCAGACTGAACGTGGCAGGGTAGCCGTGGTGGCGAGCAGGGGGACAGCCTGACCACCCCGCTACCGCCCCACAATTTGAGCCGGGATTGTCCTTGGGGTGGCCAGCCCCTCCTGCCGCCACAGCTACGGTGTATGATTAGCTGTGTAACAAGGCCTTATTGGAAATCCTGGGATGTGTCTAAAGGCCCCTCTCTCAGCCTCAGTCTGCGGCCAGGCAGATGGATGAACCCAGGGGCGTCCCAAGGTTGAGAGTGGCAGCCTGGGGCCAGGGGGAAAGAGGAGGAGGAGGCAGCATGACCAAGCCGCCGCCCAGATCAAGGCCTGCTGGCAAAGGTCATCCTCCCCCGGGGTGATCGGGGTCAGACCCAGGGCCTCAATCTCCTCAAAGATGGAGGTGAAGTCACCCCCCCCCACCGCCCCAGAGTCCTCCCCGCCAGCAACCAAGGCAGCAATTACCTCGGTGCCAACAGGGGGCACAGGTGACAAAGGGGTTGTGGGGGCTCCATCTGAGGCATCCTCAGGGAGAGACTCCGAGAGGGAGGCAGTTCTGCCCCCCTCTACTGCCATGGTGTCTGTGGCTGCTTCACCTGCTGGGCTCCATCAGGGGGCACGGCAGAAGGCTCGGCAGCATCGGCCCCGCTCATGGTCTTGCGGGCGCCCCCCACACACACAGAGAGGGAGGTTCTGAGCCCAAGCCTTACTTTTGCCGCAATTCCCCTGCACGAGTACCCAGCCCTCCAAGGTGGAGGTGGAGGGCTGGCCAGCAGGGGTGGGGCCAGGGGGCAAGGGCGAAGGTGCCATGGGTTGGGCGGCAAGGGGGGGGACACAGTGGACACAGTGTGGGGAAGGGAAACCTCCCCAGGGGGTGGGACCTCTCCGAGCAATGGCCCCGCTGGACTACACACGATGGAGGCGGGGCCCACCCACTCACCTGGGCGCAATGGGGAGGGCTGCTCCCAGAGCCAGAGCGGGAGCGATGGCAGAAGGAAGAAGGGCAGTTACGGGGGCTGGGCCACCAGGGTCACCCCAGCGACAGCAGGGACGGTGCCTCCCGGGTCTCAGGGGTCCCAGGCACCCCTCCATGCCGGGCCAGGGGGCAGTCCCTCCAGACGTGCCCCATTGCCCGGCAGAGGTAACACCTGGCTTCCCCTGAGGAGTAGTACGCCTGGTAGTGGGCCCCCTGGTAAGGCACTAAAAAGGACCCCTTGAGTGCCACCACATCATGCACCGCCAGTGGCAGTTAGAGCTAGACCTACCGGTGGAAGGACAGGATGTGACAGATGGCGGGGTCCTTGCACCCCAGTGGGAGAGGACTGATAACGGAAATGGGCTTCTCCAGGGTGGAGAGGAAGGGTAAAAGGGCAGCGTTGGGGAGGAAGGGTGGGACGGAGGTAAAAACCACCCATTTGCCCAGGTCCTCAAAGGGCTCAATGGGAACATAAACGCCTCCCACCACCAGGCCCTTCTCCACCACCTCCTGGGCAACGGTCTCCGATGGCAGGAAGAAGACGATCTTCCCGTACATCTTGGAGGCCACCACCACTGCCGTGGGCCCCACCACCCTTGCCAACGCCCCCACATAGGTTTCCACATGGGGTGAGGCGGGCACCAGGAGGCAACGGACGCCGTGTTTCCTGGTCAGGGTGGAGAAGGGACCCAGGCCACCAGGGATGGAGCTGGAGGCAGCGGTCAGGGCAGCTGATGTGGTAGTGCATGGAGGGACTGCGGTCACCTGAGCATACACCCTGGGGGCCAAGGGTGGAACGCCCCCAGAGCTGGTGGAGGGAACAACAGGGGAAGGGGGGGCCGCAGCAGATGACGGGGCCGCAGTGAGGCGGCCAGCCCCAACTACAGGGGGCTGCACCTTCTGGGTGGGGCCCTTGTCCTTTTTAGTCCCCTGGCCCTTTTTCCCTGACGAGAGGGCTCCCCCTGAAGAGGAGCGGGTAGTGGCCATGGCAGCAGCAGACTCTGGACTGGCAGTCGAGAGGTGAGCCGCTGGGAGAGACGGGGGAGGTGGTGGGGGAGGAGGCACAGAGTCAGCGGGAGGGGTTCCACTCACAGTTATTCCCGCCATACTATCAAGGGGTAGGGGGCAACACCAGAGGGAGGGGGAGAAAGGGAAACAGAGGGGAAAGGCCTACCACTACTCCCCACTAAGCTGCGGGCAGGAGAGGATGGTGCCAATGGAAGGGGTGGGGGGAAGGGGAAAGTTCAATCACTCCTCCCCACTAGGCTGCAGGCAGGGGAGGAGGGCATCAGTGGGGTGGGGGCACGGGGGTGCTGAGCGATGAAGGAAAAGGGGCACGAATATTGGCAGGGGGTGGGGATACCGGCTCCTCCGGCTGCACTGGGAAGAGGAGGGACTACAATATCATCGGGAGGGCTGTGAACGGGGCAGGGAGGCAACTGAAAGGGGGCACAAACACTTGGGGGGGGCATGGGCACACAAGTGAGATGGGCTGAGCTGGGGGGGGCAAGGGAAGGTAGGGGGAAAAGGGGAGCAGGCTGAGAACGGATCAGGGGCAGGGCAGGAAAATCACAAGAGGGAAATGCAACAGTGAGGGCAGGGTAGGCAACCAAACTGACACCCAGAGTTTGGGGCAGGGCAGGCGAGGTAGCAAACACTGAAGAGCCAAAGCGGGGCACGTAACTTTACAAAGGTTGGAGGGCTGGGGCGGGACAGGCAAATTTAACAAAAGCGGAGTCCGAGCAGGCAAACCAACAGAAAAGAAGGCTCCCCAAGGGGCAGGCTGCAAGAGGGAAGGGGAAACAACTGCAGGGAGGCTGGGGGCCCCAGCCAAATGCAGCTGGGGCAGGGAGGGTAAGTCCAAGGAGGGGGAGGATAAGTCCAAGCAGTGATGGTAGGGGGGAGCAGATGGGGGAGGGCTCCATGCCCCTCCCCCTTGCTCCCCACAACAGCAGCAGGAGTGACCACCACCCCAGGAGCCAAGATGTTAAAAAGTCACTCAGTCCATGAACAAACCACCTCCACAATGTCCCACAGCAGGAGCCCTTTTCTTCCTTCTCTTCAGCAGCAGGCTCCAACACAGCAGCAGCAACCAGCGGCCAGCCAGGAATGGTAGTGGTGGAGTCAGGTGCTCCTCTCCGGAGGGTTTCCAATAAGGCAGGGTCCCCTGCACAGCAGCAGCAGCCAGGGGGAGAGCTCCAGACAGACAGAATGACCAGCAGCTGGAGTAGGATGGAGAGGGGCTCCCACTGCCCAGAGGGAAGGAACCCCTCACTGAGCCCTGGTGGGCGAAGCCAGGACATGCTCACCCCTCCTGCCGAAAGTCAGTGGGTGGGACAGGAAGTATAAAAGGCAGGCCTGACGCTCAGTTGAGCTGCAGCCACCAGAGGAGTCAGATGCCCCCTGCTTGATCCCAAGCTGGGAGACTGCTGCTGGCTGCCCCAGGGAGTTGAGGACCAGACAGAGGTGCTACCAGCCCTACCACAGGCCTTCTACTTGGATGATCTAAACAACCCTCTACAGACACAGGTACAACCCAAGGGGGAGTTAGGAAGTGGCCTGGGGGCAGCTGACCCAAGTCTGGCTGTAGAATCTGCCTGAGCATAGGACAGTATGTTGCAGTCAGGATCCCTGCTGACCCAGTGGCAAATCCTGCTGCCACTGTTGGGGCCCTGGGCTGGGGCACAGTGGAGTAGGTGGGCCTGTGCCCCCTGCTACCCAAACCCTGGGATGGCAGTCTTCCCCCTCTCTAGGCCAATGACCCAGTGTTTATCAGCCATCTGCTGGAGCTAGTTTTGCTTGAACCCCTTGCTGCTTGGCCCTGACCACAGGCCCAAGTCCTAGATCTTTGTGGCCTCACCCTGCTTGAGGTCTTAGGCTATCTAACCGTTGGCTGCTTGGCCTCTGATTACAGGCCCAAGCTCTAGACTCTTGCCGTGCTGCTAATTCCCCACAACAAGCGATGCCCAGGGAGAAATCTTGGGAGGAGGGTAGGCACAAGCCCACCCACATCTAAAGGCCTCTCCCCCAGCCTTGCGGGAAGGACCACTGGACATGAGAACCAACTGAATATGGGGGACAACTAAGGAATAACAGGTTTAGGAGTGAACATCACAGGTTCAAAACTAAGGATCCAGAGGGGGACACCAAGCAGAGAACCCCTGCCAGCGCCCACTGCTCCTCAAAGCTGTTTAGGGAGCCAGCAGATGCCACCCAGAGGAACACTGCTCAGGTGCAGAAATAGGCCCCACAGTTGCAGAGCACCCTCTCATGTAGCCACTGCTGCCTCCTCCTCCTGGTATTGAAGATGGCCACTTGGGCTAGGGCCAGGAGGAGGTTGACGAGGAGGTCTTGCGATTTTTGTGGTGCTACGGACAGGGTGTGAGAATATAAACGGGGCGGGGGAAGTGCAGCCAGAACTTCAACAGAGGGTTCTGGGGGACCTGGAATAGGGGCTGCAACCTGGTGCATTCGAAATAAGTGTGCACCAGGTTCTCGCTCATGCTGCAAAAGGGGCATGTGGGGGGGATGGGGGTGAACTGCGCCAGGTACACACCCATGCTCACCGCTCCAAGGAGGAGATGCCAACTGATATCCCTGACAGGTTGTGGGACCAGGGTGGAATAGAGGCTGGCCCACCGGGGTTCATCACCCTCCACAGGTATCAGAGCAGGACACGAGAGTGAGGAAGTGAAATGCGTGGCGCATGTGTGTATAGTTTCCTTGGTGCAGTTCAGAAGTGAACCGGCTGCAGGGCCCGCAGCCAGCTCTGACTGTGGAAGGGAGGGGGCCAATGAAAAGGTCAGGAGGGCCTGGAGTGAGCAGTGGGCAGGGAGCACCTTCTCACAGTACCTGCTCAAGGAAAACCCGAGAGGTGGGCGACAAGGCTGCCCCAACCTCCTGGAGCACACGCAGGGGTCAGGAGGGGCGGAGAGCCCCATGCGCTGACCGAGAGCTGAGAGGGGCCATCACAGTCACCAACTGGTGATCTGAGAATGGGGCTGGCTGAATGCTGGAGGAGTGGGCCCGTGCCAGATAGAAACATAATAAATTAATGCAGTCCAACCAGGAGTGGTGCGACCAATCACCCTCCCGAAGGAAGGAGAGCACCTGGCTCCTGCGGAGACCCACACTACCGCCTCGGGTGTTCAAGGTGGCAAAGATGGTGACTTTCACAAGGATGGCTGAGGCGGATCCTTGCAGTCAGTGGTGTTGGTGGCCCCCAGCGGGCCTCACAAGAATTGGTGACCAACCCCAAAAGCCAGCAGGGAGTCTCACAAGTTGCAGGCCCACCAGTAGGCCATGATATCCTGCCTCTGTCTCCCTTTCCTCCTGCAAAATGGCCCTCGTAGCCTGGAGGACGAGATGGAAGTCCCCTTAGCGCTGGAGAGCAAGCTGCACCTTGCCCTTGAATCCACAGGTTTCCATCAGGAAGCAGTGCAGCTCGTCCCGCAGCACAGCCCTGGCAGATGGATGAACCCAGGGACATCCCAGGGTTGAGAGCGGCAGCCTGGGGCAGAGGGGAAAGAAGCAGAAGGGGCCGCATGACCAAGCTGCCACCCAGATCGAGGTCTGCTGGCAAAGGTCATCCTCCCCCTGGGGTGATTGGGGGTCAGACCTAGAACCTCAATCTCCTCAAAGATGGAAATGAAGTCACCCCTGAATGCCCCAGAGTGCTCCCCGCCAGCAACCAAGGCAGCAATTGCCTCGGCACCGACAGGGCACAGGTGACAAAGGGCCTCTGGGGCTCCTCGGGGAGAGACTCCGAGAGGGAGGCGGTTCTGTCCCCCTCTGCTGCCATGGGATCTGCGGCCAGCTCCATCAGGGGGCACAGCAGAAGGCTCAGCAGCAGTGGCCCCCCTCATGGTCTTGCGGGGGGGCTTCCCCACCGCATTGAGGGGGAGGTTCTGAGCTCGAGCCTTCTCTTTGCCGTGCTTCCCCTGCACAAGTACCTAGCCTGCTGAGGTGGAGGGCTGGCCAGCAGGGGTGGGGCAGGGAGCAAGGGTGATGGTGCCATGGGTCGGGGCAGCAAGGGGGAGACAGCAGTGGGAAGAGAAACCTCCCCTTGCGCTGGGACCTCTCCCTTGCCCAGCAATGGTGAGGACCTTGCAGCCCTGTGGGAGAGGGCTGATAACAGAAATGGTGGAGAGGAAGGGTAAAAGGGCAGCGTTGAGGAGGAAGGGTGGGATGGAGGTAAAAAAAAACACCCATTTGCCCAGGACCTCTAGGGGCTCAATGGGAACATATGCCTGCCTGCCCCCACCAGGCCCTTCTCCACTGCCTCGTGAGCAGCAGTCTCCGATGCCAGAAAGATGATCTTCCCATACATCTTGGAGGCCACCGCTGCCATGGGCCCCACCACCTGTGCCAATGCCCCCATGTAGGTCTCCACATGGGGTGAGGTGGGCACCACGAGGTAACAGATGCTGTGCTTCCTGGTCAGGGTGGGGAAGGGATCCTGGCTGCCAGAGATGGAGCTGGAGGTGGTGGTCGGGGCAGATCACATGGTGGCACATGGAGGGACTGCAGACACCTGTGTGTATGCCCTGGGAGCCAAGCGTGAAATGCCCCCAGAGCTGGTGAAGGGAACAGCAGGGGGAGGGAGGGACTGTGGCAGATGATGGGGCTGCAGCAGGGTGGGTGGCCCCAATCACAGGGGGATGTGCCTTCTGGGCTGGGTCCTTGTCCATTTTAGTCCCCTGGCCCTTTTTCCTGGCTGAGGGGGGCTCCCCCCGAAGCAGAGAGGGTAGTGGTCATGGCAGGGGCAGAGTCCTGCCCAGTGGTCAAGAGGTTGGCCACTGTGCGAGAGGGGGGGGAGTTGGCAGAGGGGGGCTCAGAGTCAGCAAGAGGGGTTCCACCCACAGTTGCCCCCGCCATAATAGCAAGGGGCAGGAGGCAACACCAGGGGAGGGAAGCAGAGGGGAAAGCCTACCACTCCTCATGGCTAGGCTGCAAGCAGGGGAGAAGGGTGTCAATGGCAGGGGTGGGGAGAAGGGAAGAGGCCAACCACTCCTCCCCACTAGGCTGCAGGCAGGGTAGGAGCATGCCAGTGGGGCGGGAGCGTGGGGTGGGTGCTGAGCAAGGAAGGGACGGGGGGTGAGTACTAGCGTGGGGTGAGGATACTGGCTCCATACCTCTCCTCCTTGCTCCCCACAACAGCAACAGGAGTTACCACCACCACCCCAGGAGCGAAGATGCTAGAAGTCGCTCAGTTCCAGAACAAACCCCCTCCACAATGTACTGCAGCAGGAGTCGTCCTCCACAAGAGCAGCAAACTCTGAGGTAGCAGCAGCAGCCAAACAGGGGAGACCCAGGGGTGGTGGTGGTGGGGTCAGGGCTGGCGCTGCACCCTAGAGGGCAGGCAGGCCAGCCAGGTCCCCTGCACAGCAGATACAGCAGCAGCCAGGGGAGCGCTCCAGCCAGCAGAACAGCCAGAGCAGAACGACCAGCAGCTGGTGTGGGGCAGAGGGGGCTCCCACGGACCCAGAACAGGAGGAACCCCTCACTGAGTCCTGGTGGGCGGAGCCAGGGCATGCTCACCCCTGCCTGTCCCACCCACTGACTTTTGGCAGAAATATAAAAGGCAGGCTTGAAAGGTCAGTTGGTCTGCAGCCGCCAGAGGAGCCAGATGTCTCCTGCTTGCTCCTAAGTTGGGAGACTGCTGCCGGCCTCTAGGGAGCTGAGGACTGGACAGAGCTGCACACTGACCCAACAGCAGAGGAGCTACCAGCCCTACCACAGGCCTTCTACCTAGATGATTTGGACAACCCTGTACAGACACGGGTACAACCCGAGAGGGAGTTAGGAAGTGGCCCGGGGGAGCTAACCCTAGTCATGCTGCAGCACCGCCTGAGCATAGGTTAGCGTGTTGCGGTCACGATCCCTACTGACCCGGTGGCAAATCCTGCTGCCACTGTTAGGACCCTGGGCCGTGGTGCAATGGAGTGCGTGGGCCTGCATGCCCCCTGCCACCCCAACCCTGGGGTGCTAGTCTCCCTCTCTCTAGGCCAAGGAGCCAGTGTTTGTCAGCCATACACCAGAGCTAGGATGTCTGAACCCCTTTCTGTTTGGCCTTGACCACAGGTTCAAGCACTAGACCTTTGTGGCTCTAGCCTGTCTGAAGGCCTGGGCAATCTAACTGTTTGCTGCTTGGCCTCTGACTACAGGCCCGAGCTATAGGCTCTTGTCGTGCCACTAATTCCCCACAACAAGTGATGCCCAGAGACATAGTGAGGTGGGCTGGCCTCCCATGGACCTGGAGATGGAGGAACCCTGCCGGAGATCCACTTCAAGTTGGATCAGAGCTAGTGTGCACGTGCCTCCTTGAGCCGGAAATCACCTGTACAACGTAGACGTGCCCTCCATCAGCTCCTCACCACCAGGGGGTGATGCTGCCCAGGGCAGGCAACCAGGAGCTTTTACAAGCGCTCAGAGGCTGTCTGTGAAAGGGTGCCAGCAGCACTGACCACCCCACTTAGCAGGCATTGGGCCAGGCTTCCCCAAGCCCCAGGATCTCACCAGAGCTCTGTGGGGGTCACCATGTAGCATGCCTGGGCTATTCCTGGGGGTCTGGAAGAGGCTGAGAAGCCCCCACAGATGGCACAAACCCCATCCCAAGTGTTGCATGGGACCACTGCCAGTGTCTGGACAAAGCCCTGCATTAATTGCTGTCACTTTGGTTATCTGGGGAGGGCTGGAAGCTACAGTTGGGTAGCCCTGCAGTTTGCTCACGTGGCGCATTGAAGTGAGCACACCAATTCTGCTCTAGCTTGTCCACTTCCAGCTTCTGGCAGGCAGAGGCTCTCAGAGCATATTGCATCCCTACCCATCCTGGCTAATTGCCAGCAATGGACATATCCTCCATGAACTTATCTAGTGTTTTGTTTTTTAAACCCGGTTATAGTTTTGGCCTTCATAACACCCCCTGGCAGAGTTCCACAGGTTGACTGTATGTTGTGTGAAGAAGTATTTCCTTTTGTTTGTTTTAAACCTGCTGCCTATTAATTTCATTGGGTGACCCCCCCCCCCTAGTTCTTGTGTTATGTAAAGGAGCTTATTCACTTTCTCCACACTAGTCAAGATTTTATAGACCTCTATCATATCCCCTCTTAATCCTCTTTTCCAAGCTGGAAAGTCAGTCTTTTTAATCTCTCCTCCTGGAAACTGTTCCATACCCCTACTCATTTTAGTTGCCCTTCTCTGTACCTTTTCCAACTACAATATATCTATTTTTTGAGATGGGGTGACCAGAACTGCACGCACTATTCAAGATGTGAGCATACCATGAATGTATATAATAAAAGTGGAGGAACTTGGTTTGCCAGACCAATCAGCAATGCCAACGCTGACAAACTATGTGAAAAGGCTGTAAAACACCAATCCTCTGGACTGCCTCGACATGCAGAAAGCCTTATAAGCTAGTCATTGTCAACGCCAATTTTAGAAGTACTTAACGAGACTGTTAAAAATGCTGGAGACGCAGTTTATTCAAACAAACATGGCTGTCGTCATACTTTCTCTTTAAGCAAGAGACACCACGCACTACAAACTGGTGGCTAATGTTAAGTGCATTGTCATTTGTTAATCCTGAAGTTGGACACTGGTTCTGACCAAGACCAGCAAATGCTCACTATCTTTCTGCAAGAAACTCAACTGACTGGTTAGAAGCATGCAGTGCAACAGTGAAAGACTGAGCAGTTGAAAAAGTGAAGAATTCTCACCACGTTCAGAAAATGTGCATGCATGGCTAATGAATAAACTGATGCAAATGGGTGTCAAGTATTAAGTCATTGTGTACGCTATCTTGGTGTCAGTGGTCAGTCAGTAGATGAATTTCTAGATGTTCAGGTTATAGAAAACACATTGGCTGCATTTCTGACAACCCACGTCTTAGAGTTAAATGCTTGTAAATTGAACCCCAATGAGATGGCTGCTTGTGGAGCTGCACGCTTCTCTGGAAGGCATAGTGAAGTACAAGCTTTGCTCAGAGGAAAGTGCAACTCTAAAGTCTTCTATACACACTGCAGATGCCATTTACTCCAACTAGCACTAGTACGAACTGCAGAATCTTTAAAAAGCTATAAATTTGTCTTCATTATACTTTTTTATTTTATTTTTTTCAGCAAGAGTCCAAAAGGACTGATTGTCTTGGAAAATATAGAAGATACACTGGGACTGAAGTTCAAATTAGTACAACCTGGGAAAAACCCCTGGCTTTCTCATGAGCGATCCTTGGCTGTTGTCTTAAAATTACTGCAACCATTATTATTAGCTTTGGAAACTATCTACTGAGATGGGACGGATTTAAGTAATGAGGCTGGTGGACTACTTTTGCTACTAAGTTCAAAGAAGACAATCACCATTCTTTTTTTTAAACCCACGAAAGCTTATGCCCAAATAAATCTGTTAGCCTTTAAGGTGCCACCGGACTCCTAGTCTGTATCCACAAAAACAACTAACAGGGCTACCCCTCTGATACTTGACATTCTCTCTCATAAGTCTACCGTTGAAACTACTTGGGTCATTTAAATAACGCCATGCAGGCATCTGCTACAACAGTAGTAGATCTATGTCCAGCAATGGAAACTACACTTAGATCAGAGAGAGATCCATTGAAAATGTACTAGAAGCAGCAAAGACTTCAGTTCAGAAGTTGACTAATGAGGGCACTTACATTGACTCCTTAAATGAAGAGGACAAAAAGTGTTAAGCCAGCTGAAAAAGTAAAGTACACAGACTTAATTCTTACAGCTCTACAAAACCAATTTCTGGATTCTATCAACCTCTACATAGCTTTTACAAATGCCTGTCTTATAAAACACAGACAGTTGCGTGGAGTGAGGCACTACCACCAATGGGGCTACCATGTGATCAGGGCAGAATAGAGAATTTGAACACAGAGTGGAATGTCATACGATGAACAAAGGAAGATTTGACTTCAACTTCTTCTTCTTTATCATCACGAGTGGTTTGACCCAATTTTTATGCTATGTTTCCTGAGATGAAAGAAGTAGGAACTCCTCTCTTTCTAATCCTAGTCATAACAGCTACAGGTGAGCGTTCTTTTTCCTCATTCAGTAGAATTGTGTGTTCTGTGTGATCATGAGCATAGCAGGAAGGACTGGACACAGGAGAAACCACCACCAATGAATGCACTGCATTAGAGAAGTTCATTAACAGAGTTGTGCAAAATTACAAGAAGAAAGCAAGAAGGCTGTACATATAGTGCTTCATAGTAGGCTTGTATAGCTAACTTTAATTTGTGTGATGATTTAAAAACATGAGTTAAATCTAATAAAATGGCTGTGAAACATTTTTCAGTTTTTACTATGATACCATACAGCCCCCCTTTGCCTTAACAGTCTTGCCCCTTATCAGTCCTCACACACACACACACACACCCCGTACTTTTGAACATCTCCCTCCCCAATTTCAATTCCTGGGGAAAACAGGGGCATAGATGTACACACAATAAATAATAATCACTCCTTGCTGCAGAGCTGTTCAGAGCCAGCGATGCCTCCTCTGCCCTCTCTCTCAGCCCTTCCCATCACCTACCCCTCCTCTTCTTCCTGCTCCTTCTCCCAGCTTCTTCCCCTGTGGCACTGGGGGTGATGCCACCCTACACAGAGAAGGGAAGAGGGGCCACATAGGCCCCATGATGATCGCTGGGCTGCGGTTGATGTGCTGGAGCCAATCCCCCCCCACCGGTATGAGGGCAGGAGCGGGTTTGTTACCGGAGCTGAGGGATGCATGAAGCAGGGCCATGGGTGCTACCTGACCGGGGAGGAGCAGGGAATGGGAATCCCAGGTTCTCCTTTCCCTAACACCCAGAATCAGACAGCATGTGCTCTGTATACACAGAGACTTCTGTAATATGGCCCCTTCCTTGTCTGCATAAGGGGCTGGTGGCTCTACAGGGAAGGGAGGACTGTGTGTTTCTACAGGGGTCTGCCAGGAATGGTTCTTGGCCCTACACTATTTAGCATTTTTATCACTGACCTGGAAGAAAACCTGAAATCAGCACTGATAAAGTTGGCAGATGATCCAAAAATTGGGGGAGTGGTAAATACTGAAGAGGACAGGTCAGTGCTACAGAGTGATCTACAATACATCACATGGTAAGGGGGACGCAGGCAAACCATATGCATTTTAATATGGCTAAACACAACGGTATACATGTAGGAACAAAGAATGTAGGCCATACTTACAGGGGATGGGGGACTCTATCCTAGGAAGCAATGACTCTGAAAAGGACTAGGGGGTCATGGTGGGTAATCAGCAGGACATGAGCTCCTAGTGCGATGCTATGGCCAAAAGAGGTAATGCGATCCTGGGATGCATAAACAGGGGAAGCTCGTAAAGAATTTATTTTTCTTCTGTATTTGGCACAGGTGCGCCCACTGCTGGAAACCTGTGTCCAGCTGTGATGCATACAATTCAAGAAGGATGTTGATAAATTGGAGAGGGTTCAGAGAAGAGCCACAAGAGTGACTAAAGGAATAGAAAACCTGCCTTAGAGTGCTAGTCTGTGTAGCTTAACACCGAAACAATGAAGGGGTGACTTGGTCACAGTATATAAGTACCTCAATGAATTAATATTTGATCATGGGCTCTTCGATCTAGCACAGAAAGACCTAACACCATCCAATGGCTGGCAGTTGAAGCTAGACAAATTCAGACTGGAAAGAGAGTGTACATTTTTAACAGTGAGAGTAATTAACCATTGGAACAACTTGCCAAGGGTCACACTGAATTCACCATCACTGGCAAGTTTTAAGCCAAGACTAGCTGTTTTTCTAAAAGATCTGCTCAGGGGGTTAATTTGAGGAATTTCTCTGGCCTGAGCTGTGCAGGAGGTTAGACTAGATGATCACAGTGGTCCCTTCTGGCCTTGGAATCTACAGAATCATAGAAATGTTGGGCTGGAAGGGACATCAAGGGCTCATCAAGTCCAGCCCCTGCACTGAGGCAGGACCAAGTAACCCTAGACCAGCCCTGACAGGTGTTTGTCCAGCCTGTTCCTAAAAACTTCCAATGACGGGGATTCCACAATCTCCCTGGGAAGCCTGTTCCAGAGCTTTATTACCCTTAGAGTTAGAAAGTTTTTCCTAATATCTCACCTAAAATGTCCTTGCTGCAGATTGAGCCTTTTGCTTCTTGTCCTACCTTCAGTGGACAGGGAGAACAGCCGATCATTATCCTCTTTATAACGGCCCTTCGAAGACTTGTTGTCAGGTCCCCCCTCGCTCTTCTTTTCACAAGACTAAACGTGCCCAGTTTTTATAACTTTTCCTCATACATTAGGTTTTCTAAACCTTTTATCATGTTTGTTGCTCTCCTCTGGACTCTCTCCAGTTTGTCCACATCTTTCCTAAAGTGCAGCACCCAGAATTGGACACAGGAATCCAGCTGAGCTCACCAGGGCCGAGCAGAGTGGGACAATTCCCGTCTGTGTCTTACATCCAACTCCTGTTAATATGCCCCAGAATATTAGTCTTTTTTGCAACTTCATCAAGTTGCTGGCTCATATTCAACTTGTGATCCACTATAACCCCCAGATCCTTTTCAGCAGTACTACCACCTAGCCCAGGGGTTCTCAGACTTCATTGCACCATGACCTCCTCCTGACAAAAAAAATTACTACATGATCCCAGGAGGGGAGACCGAAACCTAAGCCTGCTTGAGCTCCACTGCCCCAGGTGGGGGAGGGGGGACAAAGCCAAAGCCCAAGGGCTTCAGCTCCAGGCGGGGGGCCTGTAATCTGAGCCGCACCATCCAGGACTGAAGCGCTTGGGCTTCGGCCCTGGGCCCCAGCACATCTAACTCCAGCCTTGGTGACCCCATTAAAATGGGGTCGTGACCCACTTTGGGGCCCTGACCCACAGTTTGAGAACCCCTGACCTAGCCAATTATCCCCTATTTTGTAGTGGTGCATTTGATTTTTCCTTCCTAAGTGAAGTACTTCGCACTTGCCTTTATTGACGTTCATCTTGTTGATTTCAGACCAATTCCCCAATTTGTCACGGTCATTTTGAATCCTATCTTCCAAAGTGCTAGCAACCCCTCCCAGCCCAATGTCATCTGCAAATTTTATAAGCGCACACTCCATTCTATTGACTAGTACTGTACCCAGGACTGACCCCTGTGGGACCCCAGTAGTTTGACAGTGAACCATTGATAACTACTCTTTGAATGTGGTCTTCCAACTATTTATGCAACCACCTTATAGTAATTTCATCTAGACCACATTTCCCTAGTTTGCTGATGAGACTGTCACGTGGGACTATATCAGAAACCTCACTCAAATCAAGGTATATCATGTCTGCTGGTTCCTCCTTATCCACGAGGCCAATAACCCCATCAAAGAAGGAAATTAAGTTGCTTTGACATGATTTGTTTTTGACAAATCTGTTCTGACTGTTCCTTATAAACCTGTTATCCGCCAGGTGCTTACAAACTCATTTGTTCCAGTATTTGTCCAGGTATTGAAGTTAGACTGAATGGTCTATAATCCCCAGGTCCTCTTTGTTCCCCTTTTTGAAAGATTGGTAGTATGTTTGCCCTTCTCCATTCCTCTGGGACCTCGCATGTTCTGCATGCGAGTGCTCTGGCACCCAGGGGCAGATCTTTCCCTTTGTGTCACTTCTCAGTTCAATTCTCTTCTCTACTTTTTGGTGGAGCAGGTTTCTCAGGGTGAGGCAGGTCTTTTGGGGGTGGGGTCGGGAGGGGAATGACTCTTGGGAGTGGGGCAGGTTTCTTGGGGGCAGGTCTCTCAGGTGTAGGGTGGGCGGGGAAGGTCACACAGGTCTCTTTCTCCCATGAAATATTCAGCCCCACCCTAAACTCTCCCTGAGTTGGGAACTGGGGGCTGATAAGGTCCCAAGAAGGAGAGCAACCTCCCCCCATGCGGCCCAGCCCTGACACACTCCCAGATTCCTTATGGCTTGAGGCAAATCACTGGCTGTGGCCTACAAGGGACGGGCAGGTCCAGCTAGAGGATGAGGGGAGGGAGCCCCCAGCTTCCCCTAAGGCAGAAATCCTCACTGGCTGGGCCATGTGGCCAGATTCACCCTAGGGCTGGGCTATCCAGGGGGCTGGGATCTACTGCCTGAGCCTCAGCTATGGGGGCAGACCAGGGGGCAAGGCCAAGAACCTCCTTTCCCCACATGCGCAAGAGAACAAGATGCCTGTAGCCAGCTTCAGCAGCTGGGCTGCTGGCTCCCTGGGCCTTGGCTGCTGTGCTGTCCCCAGGCAGGCCTCCACTCCTGAGCTGCCAGCTGGGCTTTGCTCTGGCCCCCTGGCGCAGCACAGGGAGTATGCACTGGAATACAGCTAGCTCCCATGTGTGGGGAAAGGTGCACTGCAAGAGGCAGCTGCAGGTAGGTCCCAGCAGGGCAGGGAGACAAAAAAAACAAACACCAGGTGTCAGGTGCAGCCAACAGGCAAATTCCACAGAAAAAATGCTGAATTCTGGGGCATCTTGGGAAAGTGTCAAATTTGATGGACACGGAATTTCAGTGTCCGCAGCCCCTGACTGAGACAGGCAGGACAGGTCAGTTCAAGCCTCTCAGAACTACTGATTCAGGCTCTCTGCAGACTCAGGCAAACCTCGCTGCATGGGTTCTGCCTAGGTACTTCCACCCTCCCTGAAGGGACTGGATCCCATCTCGCTCTGGGTTGCTGTCATTCAACCTTCCTCAAGGAGGCCACTAATTCTCTGGTGGCCATTCACACCTTGTTGGAAAGTTACAGAGTGACTGTCACCCTGACTTTTGTCCACCACCCCTTTGCTCCCTGCTGGCTGAGTCTGGCCCGTCATGTTGTCCCCTGGTAGATGCCTACACCAGCCACACACAGAGGAAAGAGGCAAAGTTACTGACGTGTTTGTTCTGGAGTCTAGGACCCAGTGCTGCTCCCTTTTGAGCTCAGTGGGTGCCCAGAGCATCCTCTGGCACTGGGGGAGCAGGAGTCTGCACTACATATATGTCACCATGGTGCCCACTGGTGGCAGATTGGAGCTAAGACCAGAAAGTCCCTTTGGCTGCACACAGGGGATCTGGGGACAAAAAATCAAATTGGATTTTTGCAAAACATTTAGAGGAGAAGGGATTTAAATTTAGTTTCATTCAAAATCTTTCATTAAAATTGTTGATTTTTTGGTGACAATTTTGTAAGAAAATTTAAGCAAATTTTTTCCTATTGTTTTGAATTCAAAATGTTTGTTCAATAAGGCCCTTTGGATCTCGAACCCAGATTTACAGTGCTGCCAGGAAACAGACATTGCCAGGGTGCCACCTGTACT